GCAAATTAGGCTCCGCCCCCGACTCTGCCCATTTTTCCTCCCAGATGGTTCTTCCCACTTTTTGTTTTCCTCCCAGTTGGTGTGCCCTCTATTTTTAGGTTACGGTAGTTTTCTTTGCGGGACCTTCGCCCACCTTTTGTACTATGATAGTAATATTTAAAAAACACTCACTTTGAAATTTATCAAAAACTTTTTGATTGTTGGTAAAATAAATTGTCTCCTGGCAATGTTTTGTGTAGCCATCGCTCAGTGCTGATATAATTTTCTCTGGTTTCTAAAAATTTAGGTCAAGATTTATAATATTTTTTTTCCAAATTTTTTGCTTACATGGGTGGCTCTATGAATAATGATCACGCATCGAAGATTAAAGTTTTCAGCTTTCTGGGTGGGTTTTTCTTGAAAAAAAAGATACTGTATTGAGATAAATCTACAGTAATCTCACCATGTCCAACCAGAGAAATATGCTCAGAAATATCGTAATCACCATCGAAAATCAACAAAAATCCTATTAGGTACCCTATCGTACAACCAAATGCCAAATGTATTAATGCATCTCTGAAAGAATTGGAAAATTTGAAAAAAAATTCTAGAATATTCTGAATAATCACTTTGGACTCCTGATTCTAGCTTTGAATATATTGATTGTCATCTTCGTGTGAAACTGACCAAGCGACCGAAAGAAGAAGGAGGCGAGACTGTCTTATTTCGTCTGGGTCTCACCCCCAATCAAATAGTGTCTCTCTCTACAATACGAGCGAAGGATCGATGATTCAACTACATTTATTGTACGGAAGACGAGAGAAAAGCATTGAATGTTGGTTGAATACATGGAGATGGAGAGAAAATTAATATAAAAAGATAAGCGAAACAGAAAAAACAAAACAAAACAACATTGAAACTCAGTCTCAACTAACCGAACAACGAATGACTCTAGAAATTACGTCTACAGCGCAGTAGGTGAAAAACGGACTGCCCGGAAAAATATTTAAAAAATGACCCTTATAAAAATACTCCGATTACGTGGGAGAGCGTGGAAGAGGAAAATCTCTTTTGGGAGAAATATAGGAGAACAGCAGAAAAGAAGAAGGCACAGTTGAGGAAGGAACAGGGGGAGCACAAAAATATGAACTTGAGAGAAGAGATCTCAAAAAACAACATACGATACATTTCATAGT